ATTTAAGAATAAGCGAGTCATCATTATTTTCTCCTTTTTAGGAGGCACCATCTCCCGAAATCCCTAAGACCTCCTACAGACCGTCTTCTTCACGATCCGTTGCCTCCTGCCAGCTGATTTCAGCTAGGTACCGGATACGAACGCAACATCGAACTGATGTACACTGATTTGTGATTTACTCACGACCCCTTAAAGGTTGCAGTCTTTAGGATTGCAAAAATAAATTGCTGCTTTAATTGAAAATGAGCCTGTAGCTGCAAATAATCTCACACCTCCTCCAGGCAGCCACCTGTGTTACCACCTTCCCAAGCTGGTTTCCAGTGTCACATTCTTTCCTCACGTCCACTCCCATGTGCACGTATTTCAAAAAGTGTCCATACGACTCTTTTTCACGATGTCTTTTATAGCAGTGACACAGGAATTGGGTTAAAATACCACATTTTTAAGCCCATGTGGTAACCACAAGGTTTATAAATCTAATAAAGAAAATCCATGTAAAAAATATAAAAGTTCGTGAGTCATAAGATTCTAACTGAGCCATTTATTTCCCAGGCACAAATTAGTCAGCTAGAGTTATTTAAACTCATTAAGTCACTAACGTGTCATCTGGGCAACCACTTCGGATTCCAGAATATTCTCTGAGCCCTATTTCGGCATACAGTATGTCAACAAAAGGACGTCCAGCCTAAGAAAAAGTCGTATAAGAGTTTATCTGAGCCAAACCGATGACAACTGCCGAGAAGCCAAATCTCAAAGGACTGAGAAAATGCTCCGAAAATGGCCACTTTGCAGCTCATTTTATACATTAGAAGTAGAGGAGACATAGGATGGTCACGTGACCTCCACTGGGGTGGATGGAGGGGGCGGGAGAATGCAAAGCAGAGAGACACACCTCTCTTTTACCCTGGTGGCTGCTCGGTAGTTAATAATGAACACCGACAGCATGCAGAGGCGGTATTTGGGGAGCAAGGTAACAGAGCGGGGCCCTGTGCTCCGGCGAGGCGGTTGTGCCTTGGAGGGGTGTGGAAAAGGAAGTTACTCTGACATTTCACAGGTGTGTTTGTTATCTTGGATGTACAGAAACAATAGCCGATTTTAAAGGTAAAGACTGACCTTTGCCAGGGAAGCTACAGGCCTAGGACAGGACTGCCCACCATGACCTGCTTTTAGTTAGAAACTTTTATGTTCAGATCATCCTGTGTGGTGACTCCCAGTCTCTGGGTTTGTAGGGCCCGCCGTGCAGCACCCCCTGAGCTTGTCAGGTTTAACTTGTGGCCCCCTTTTTGTCCACAAATATAATAGCTAAGTGGTATCGAATTCAGGGATTGTCAAACAATGCTTCCATCAAACATTGATTTCTACAACATCGTCTAAGGTTTAACCCTGCTAAAACTGGACGATGGCAGATTTCTTCCATTAAAAAGACTTTCTCATTTTTATGTTTGTCTCTAACTTGACAATATTGGTACTTAAGTATAGACAATAAAATGCTAGTTGACTCCAGCCTAAGGTCAGTTCATTCAAATTTGAACTATCTCTTCTAAAACCCACTAGGGAGAGGTTATTAATATAGAAGTCACCTAACCAGAGATCATAGCACAAGAGTCGTCAACACGAAGCCCTCGAATATTACTATCTGTACTTACCCTAAGGCTTGATAATGAGCATGACTCGTGTTAGAGATCGTTTTTTAGTTGAGAAAATGCATGAAGTTCAAGTAATGGGGTAGGACAGAAAGATGCGCATCAGCCCATGTGTCTTTGCACGAGTTGGGGATGTACCGGCCAGAATTTGGCTAGTACAAGGAACACTCTAGATATTTCAAGTAGGAAGGGATGTAGCCCAGGGATATCGAGTTTCAAAGACCTATTAGAAGGTCTGGGAAGGAGAAAGTCAGAGAAAAATTCAGGAATTCAGGAAGCGCAGCCATCAAAAGATGCTACTGCTGATTGATGCTACTCTGCCCTTGGCGGGTGTGGTGAGGGCATGTGCCTAGCAGCTCCCAAAACACATCTGCTGTCTGCAGAGAAGCACATCCCTGGCCACAGCTGCCAACAGGGAACGCGGCCTATCCTTTTACCTTCTAAATCCCACTCCTCGTTTATAGCAAAGCCTTCTCATGGACAGAATATGAACCGGAATTCCTATTAGCCTTGAGCCCCACCTGGAGAGGGAGAATCTGAAAGAGCAGGCTTGATTTGCACCGCTAACCAGCAGTATCAGGCACAGGGTAGAAGAATCTGGCCAGCCCAGCATCCTTCTGAAGTGGCTAGAACGGCCCTCCCCTGTAGTACGATACGCGATGATGAAAACCGTCTGTATTTGTCCTATCCAACACGGCAGCCACTAGTGCTGTGAGCCTTCTGACCCGAAGCGTCCCCGATCCCGCCATCGGGGTATGTGATGCATTTATCGTGTGTGGAAAGTACTTGTCAGGATGACTGTCTGATGGAGCGGGGCGGAGGCTTTCACTGAGCTTGCAGAATCGGCTCCTGACTCCCTTTTGTGCCGGTTTGCTCGTAAACATTCGTTGTGTATTTGGCTGAATTCACTCGGAGACTTTGCTTTCGACCGAACATACAACCGTAGCAAGGGAGTGGGGAGGCCAGCGATGTTGACCTGCAGAACCTGATCGTTGCCACAGCCAGTTAGGCCGATCGGCTTGCAGCATCCGCTTCCCTCTCGGAAATGTTTTTCAGACCTTCGGATCTGCATCTTTGCCATTAGCAAACACGGGCAGATGACGGACACACGCTACCTAAATATTAATATAAGCATTCATAGAAATTAGTTGCCTTCCACTAACACTTTTTTTTTTTAATGTGAGCCTATTTTAAAAAGGTACTTTTTAAATTCATACATGTAACCCCAATTTCCTATATAAAAAATTGTTCCTGATTTGTCCGGTTGATTCTGCTTTTCGCAGTGTCACAAAGACGGCCTAGTATTCTGCAGAAGAGCCGTGACTGCCAAGTGCCCCTCCACTTAGACCTCAGGCCCACTCCCCGCCTGTGTGGTCCTTTGCGTGCTCCTCTCTGCTTAGTGTCCCCAAATGCCAGTATCCTATAGGACCGAAGCAGGTGCTTTTATAAATACGTGACACATATTTTTCTGCCGTCCTGGAAAAAAAAATTAGCATTTTTCTCATTTGTTTGCCTCTCAGATAAAGAGAAAATTACGGTTTAAATGTTACTGTTGTTCATTTTTCTTACACTTGAACGTTTTCTGGTCTAACTGCCTTTCTGCATTTAAAAAAGTTCCTCCCAAGATCTCCAGAAGAGGTGTTACTTAATAATTTAAGAAGCACTAGGTATCGTGGAAATGATACCACGTTGTTTATTAAACATTCATGGCATTCAGTTTACACAAACTTCGGGGTCCTCATTAGTTAACTCTGTTTACCTAACGGGAGATCACACTGGCTCGGAGTTGTCAAAATGTTATGAATTCTGTCGTAAGTGGGGAAGCCTGAGGAACCAGCCACTGGGGCCTTTGCTGAGTCCGCAAAGCCTCCTGTGACTGCTTTCGGGATTATTCTCCAGCCTCGTTGTGATTCATACTCATTCATGTAGCTGCGCACGGGGCCTCCTGGGATTAGCGATCTGCAATGTCCATGACTCTGCGTCGGCGTTCTCTCCGGTCACGGCCCCTCTGCATCAGGTGGTCATTTTACTGTTGACCAAGAGACAGATTGGAGGGTGGGGCACCAGGCTGGGGGAGGTGCCAGTTCGTGGGGATGACTCCACACGGCTCGGCATAGAGGTGCGGGCGGAGGTGGGAGCAGCTCCTCCTTAGAGGCCTGTGAGGAATCGGACTGTCTGTGTGGGTTACAACGACCGTGTCACCATGAGTCACTGGGTGGAGTGGAAAGAGACCAGAGAGGGACAGAAAGGGACTTGGTCCGGAAATACTGACGGTCTCCACTGGACACACCTGTCATTCCGCCTTCACATGACCGTCTTAACGGACTTCCTCATTTAAGGGGCTCCCTCATTTAGCGCCCCATAAGCCACAGTCCCTCAGACAGGGGTGGCGTTCTCGGCAGTCGGACTGCTGTGTTGGTCCTACTGGCCCAGCACCGTGGTGGGACTTACGGTGATGATACTGCTGTTTGAGGTGACAAGATGTGACTTTCAGATTAGCTTTCAGATTCACATGGTGAGCACTTCAGTCTCGTTCGGCTTCTTGTGAAACTGATTGATTTAGTCTTTATATAAAACTAAAGACTCACCAAGGGAAAGCTATCTGCTCGGAGTGTGCCTCGGTGGTAACTCAGTGTCTATTAAAATAAAACTGTCAGTTTAATCATCAACTCTTTTGGCCGTAATTGCACAGAGGACTTAGACGACAATAAGTGCCTGTTTTCTAGTGTATTCTGAGCCGGGTGGATACTCGGTGACTTTCCTCTTCTCAATGGAGCGGTTTAACGGGCGGTGTGGGTCGCAGGTTCAATCACTGAACGGCGCCGAAGTGCTTCTCTTTGCCCCTAGCAAAATTCAACAATGCCGAAACATTCTATTTTAATGCTTAAGTTGGAAAAACAATCTAGTGAACGAGGAAGCATAACCTCTTAGGCACTGTTGCTTGCTCTCGAATTACTGGCTTAGGTGGATTGACGGTGGAGGTGCCTGGCTTTTTACAAGAGTAATTATAAAGGCTTCTGGATTGTGTTTCCTAAACAGGATCTGCAAGGCTTTTAATGCTTCAAAAAGCAAAATGGGAACCAAACTGAACTGTCTCTCACAGTTTCTTTCTTTCCTTGCCTGCTTTCCTTCTTTTTTTTTTCTTTTCTTTTTTTTTTTTTCCTTTTAAACAGAGTCGAAATTGTTCTTGGAATCAAACTAACCTTAGATTGCAAAAGGGAGCCGTGGCTGGTGCTTTCCAAACAGCAGATGCCATGCTCCTTTGGTATATTGCTCGTAGTGATCATCTCCCTCCCCACCTTTATCTAGGGATGCAGATGGGCACCTGTAAAGCCCTCTTGTCTTATCTCTTTGCAGGCTTGTTGATTGGTGCTGGCTGCGCTCTCTACCCCTTGGGCTGGGACAGCGAGGAAGTCCAGCAGACTTGTGGCTACATTTCCGGCCAGTTTGACCTGGGTAAGTTCTCTTCGTGGATGGCACTCCTTTTAGAGAAGAACTTATCTGATCTTTCACAGAAGCAAGAGGTGGAAACGGGATGGGGAGGGAAAACACGTGTGGGCATCACAGCCAGAGGTCATGTGCACCAACGCCCATACATTCCTCCATCCGGTTTAGTAAAGAGCTATTGATAATATACCGTTCGCCTGAACTTTGGGAAGTACAAAGAAAAGAAATGATCCTTGCTCAGCAGAGTGTATGTTTACCGATTCATTCATTCAAAATCATAGATTTAGTACTTACTGCATGCGCTAAAAATAGAACTGTCTATGGCATTCAAAGTCTATCTGAGAAGATAAAGCAAACAAAAGCATCAGGGAAATGACAGTAAGGGCTGAGGACTCTAAAGCAATTTCACTCCAGGGCAACAGATAACTTCCTGAAAGGGAGAAGGATTGAGCTGGGATTTGAAGAAAATGATGCTTGGCGGTTATTAGGGAGTAGAAGCACCTTGCGGGTAGGGACTATGTACAGCAAAGGCACAAGGGAAGATGGGAAAAGCTCCCTGGAAGACCCCGGAGACTCAGGAAGCAGGAGAGACGTGATCGAAAGAGATGGAGATGCCCATGCTGGAGAAGGGCTCGCGAAGTTTTCCGCACACCGATCAAAAATTGTCAGATCGTTGTTACTAGTAGCTACAGCGTATCCTACTTAGCAGCAATCCATAAAGCTGTTTTTGCATACTCTACATGGTTTTCACCGTTAGAGCTGACGAGATAGTATTTCTCTTGGTTGGTAAACCTACCTTTACTTAACCACTTGCTCATTTCTTTCCAGCTGGGTGTTTAGTCTACTCCAGTTTCTGTTATTTAAAGACATGTTATGTATAATGTGTAGTTTAATGAATATAAATCTTTTCCTTATCGAATTACTTTCTTAGGATACTTTTCTAGAATTGGTGTTACGAGATCGAAGACTGAACCCATAAAGTACTTATTGCCAAATGATAGCAAATATATTTCCTAATATATGGATAGACAGATTAAGTTTGTGGCGGTGCACAGTGAATTACTAACTTAAGCATCCACTTTCACATTAACTATTTCACTCTTAGAAGAAAAATGTTGCCATTAGAACGGGTCTAATGGCAATATTACTGTATCCCAAATCATTTAAATAGACTTTTATGTTGGAACTTCTATGAAAAGTTTTTTTCTTCTATTAGATTCTGAGGTAAGTGGACAGATACAATACCGTATCAAAGGTTTGTGAATTTTAAAATGAAACAATTCTTGTTCGACTCAATGGATGAAGAACACCCTGCTTCCCTCAAGATAGTACTGGCTCTTTTGGTAGAGAAAATGGTGCTCTAAGAGTCACCTAATGTGCATGATGGAAAATAAGAGATTTCTCTCTGCACATCTCCCCCGATCCCCTGCTCCTTATGATGAAGCCTTCCTAAGTCTGCGTTGCTTCGTGCTCGCCATCAATGAGCAGAAGGGGGAAATGCTGGCATAAAGTTGGCCATCAATGTTTTGTTTTGTTTTGTTTTTGTTTTTGTTTTTGGAAAGCAAACTGTGTCCAGGGGAGATGTTATAATGTAGTGCTTGGCGTTAATCTTTCTGTGGTGTTTGAGGCATTCTTGGCTGGTTCCTACAGGCCTCAACTTGATTAGAAGACTGTTCTCGCTGATCTCTTGTCACTGTGTGTCGTTGTACTAATTAGCAGGTTATAATGAAACTCAGATCTTGTTATTTGCAATTTTCCATATTGCACCCCAGTGTTCTTCTCAGCATTGTGGATTAAAAATTTGAACGTAAGACCTAAACTTGAAAAACAAAACAAAACAAATGAACAAAAATAACCCCGCTTGCCTCTTTACTAGTGGTAATAATTTCTTACGTCATTAAGTTCACTGAAGCCATTTTAGCAATTTAAAAACTATAGTGTCTTTTTAATTTTTGCCTTTTTATTTTTAAATTTCTCTTCGATTGCATGATGAGAGAAAACAAAGAAACTGCATCACATACGGATAAAATGAGTTCTAGATCCCCTGAATAAGTACTTTGGGTGTATCGCGTTTGATTCCTCTTGGTTACTATTATTTTTACTTCTATTATTGGTTACTATTCTTGGTTACTGCTATTATTGTTCTTTCCTTTCAAGAGAAGGCCTAACGAGAAACTGGCATAGAGGTCTCACTGTCCCTCTCCCACTGAGCGAATGGACGTTTTCCATCCTTAGAAAGCTGTTCTCGGTCCCCTGAGCACTGGTGAAGGCTAAAACTCAGTGAATGAGTGAAGTTGCAGATCAGGGAGCAAACTTGGGAGGGACCCTAGGCTGGGCTTGGGAGCCACAGCACCATGTGACAGTGAGCACTGGCAGTGAGGACGGCCGTGGTGGCATACTCCCTGCTGGCCGCGGCCACTTCTGAAAATCGAGCTTTTTGCTGCATCCTCCGAAGGAGACAGTGCGAGGGCTCATCCTCCTGCCACAGGCTGGGATGCTCATGTCCTCAGGGTTCATGCCCGTATTTTCAGCTTTGTTCTGTTTGAACTGTTCAGCTCTGCAGTTACAGCGTGGAAGACACTTCATGTATCAATGGGCGCGACCGTGTCCCGATAAAACTTTATTTACAAAAACAGGCAGTGGGGCTGTAGTTTGAGGTCTCCCGATTTCACCCAAAGCACATCCCTGACCTGCCAGAACTGTCGTCGTCACAGATGTGCCACTGACTGATCCGTCCAGCCCCGAGGGCAGTGGGTCGGGACCCAGGTCTGTCCAAGCACTGAGCGGCCTCGTTTAACTATTCCAATGTCCTCTGTATAAAACCGCCATTTCCTTGTCGTGCAGTACCACAAAAGAAGGTGACAGCACTGTAAATTAGCCTCGGTCACCTCGCTCCTCGACTTCAGCAGGGGACGCGAGGGCCAAAGCTCCTTTGGGCCCATGAGATGGGAAGACGTGCTCCCAGAGGCTTCTAAGGACGGAGAGGTCACATGCCTAGGGAAGAGGCACCCGAAGCCATGCTCACCTTCCCTCTGGCGAGCATCTCTGACCAGGTGGAGTGGCAGGAGGGAGCAGCCTGGGGGCAGTCGCCGCTGAAGCAGGCCTTCCCGGGGGCACGTCCCAGTGTGGCACGGAGGGTGGCCGCAGAGAGGGCAGGGAGAGGAGGCAGGAGGGAGGCCGCGGGGCCCCCTGCAGGGGCCTGCCATCTCTTCAGCGGGTTCAAGTTCCACAGAGCAGCCATGGTGAAAGTAACGCTTAGTTTAGAGAGGGCAGGTGGGGCCTCCACAGAAATCACATCGACACTGAATCCAGAGATGTACGTACTAGTTAGACAAGGCCCCGTCTTTTTATGAAAAACTTCATGTCTGTGGTTGTCATGTCATATGGTAGGAGTCTACCTGAATGTATTTTTTAAAATGCCTCCTTTCTTTAGAAAGGAGATTTGGGAGAATTTTTATTTTACCTCCCTTGAAAACAGTTTTATAAGGCTATCGATGATTTCTCGAGCATTTTAATATTTTACTAAGTGGAGCGCTTTGAAACAATTTTCCAAAAAAAATACCCACTTTTCCAAATCAGAGATTGTTACTCTACTTACCTTTGGTTCACACTTATTTCTGAAGAACCAGGAGCGAGTTTGAAAACACACATTTCTAAAACAGGGAAACAAGAGTCCAATCAGGCTGCCTAATGATTCCTAAATTCCCAGCTGAAATCGTGTATCTTGCTTTGACGGTAGCTTTCAACCTTTAGCATTAGAATCAGAGGTAGAAATTTTGAGAATGTGGATTTTTAGTTTCTGTGCCCCAGAAATTATGATTCTGTCATTTACATTTTAAACAAATACCTCTGGTGATTCAGGTGTGAGTGGCCCGTGACTATACTTTGAAAACGCTGCCTTAATTTGTATAGAAAATGTATTTTTTGTACTTTGCTAGAACCTAGTTGAGCAAACATTCATTTTGTTTTATGTAAATTAGGATCTTCTAGGTGACAAAACTAACTCCAACTGCCTTAAGCAAACAGAGAGGGCATTTAAGATCTCTTACTTATTATAGGAAGGCCAGAGCTACAGTGAGCTGCAGACTTGGCTGATTTAGGAGCTCGAAGATGTCATCTAACTCAGAGTCGGCTTCATCCTGAGGCCAGTTCTTCCGTGGTCATAAGGTGGCTGCATTTGGCACCTGTGGCCCTAAGCATCCTCGTTCATGTCAAACAGGACAGGGTGAGCTTCCCCCTTCATTAATGGAATAAGGAAGTTGAGTCAACTTTGCTATGTGTCCCCTCTTGAATAAATAACTGCTGCCAGGACATACTACGTCCTAATTGGCTTCTTATCATCCAGCTTGGATGTATTCGGAGTTTTATAGAACCAGATGTCACTGAGGAGTAGTGGCACTCGTAAGTATAAGATGAAGCAGAGAGAGGGAAAGGCGTGTCAGTCTGTCTCTTGTTGGGCTTCAGGGCCCTACATGGCTTCCATCACCAAGTCCATCGTGTGGTCAGCGATGGCTTCTGCTACGTATGTGTTAACAATGGTGATTTTAGTTCTTACTTTGTAAGAGAACAAAACAGTACCAGTGATGAGAATAATACGTAGTATATAGCGCAGTATCTTCACATAATAAAAGCCTAATAGATGATTGCTACTATTATTCATGGTATTTGTGCAGGACTGTTTTTAATGAATCTCTGCTGATCATTATTTATTATTCCTTTTCCATATTTATTTATTATTCACATTCTGTAACTGGAGGTTTAGACTGACAAATTAAACATAAGGCCTTTCTGATCCCATTGTCCCCTTGATTTAATTCATGCCTCAGAGATATTTTCATCCACCAAAGGCTTTTCTAATTATATCCTTATGATCAAAAGCAGTGTTTCAATTAATTTCTCTTGCTAATTTGCCAAGTGAATTTGAGTAATTATTGCTTTCCTTTCGCTACTTAATTTGATTAAGAAGCCATTGTGTTTCCTGTTCTTGAAATGATGCTCTCGGCTTCTCA